AGAGAGAACATATAAATCAAACCTGTGAATAATCAAATTAACCAAAGTTAAGCCTGTAAATGTGAAGGCAGGACTGTAATGCTGTATAGCAGTGATTCTCAACCTGTGGGTGCTCAGGTGTTTTGGCCTACAACTCCCAGAAATACCAGCCAGTTAACCAGCTGTTACGATTTCTGGGAGTTGAAGGCCAAAAATCTGGGGACCCACAGGTTGAGAACCACTGCTATATAGGATTTGTTTCTTTCCCAAGCTCTGTGGCCCTTTGACTCACCTTCTGAAAGAGGACATTATGACAGGGATCCCAGTTACAATGAAGGCTCCAAAAGAGAAATACTTTATACATATATGTAATATATGTACAATAGAACATTCCTTCTTATATGTTGCCTTATAAATTATTTAAAAGACAGGAATTAAAAAGAAATAACCAGTCATATTAATGAATAGTGATTCAAACTAATTCTGGAATGTTATGGGAGAGTTTCTTTGACCCAACTTTCATTTTTATATGGCTTACGTATGATTACGTTCGTATGTGATTACATGATATAATTCAGTAACTGATGAAATCCAAAGCCACAATCCTTCCTGTACTTTAAACTCAAAAAGTATTTAAATTTAAGACTCCCTTGGTGTGAGGTTACCTATGTTTTTTTGCATTCAGATAAAATAGGATCTTATCATACAACATTCTTGTTTTAGAATTGAAATGCAACCCACACGAGTGTGACATTGATAATAGGAGTAAGAAGGAAAGATTTGCCTGTAGTATCATAGACAGAGCTGCAGGGTTCCTGCTTCTCAAACCAATGTTCCTGGGACCAGTCCTTCTCCCTTGAGTCATTGGCCACTGGTACCTGACAGGTTTCCAGGAAAGAAAGAAACAGTTGTAGCCAATCAGCACAAATATGGTGGGGTTTTTTGCCATGTTTATTTATTATTATTTATTTACCTTACTTATATACCGCTGTTCTCAGCCCGAAGGCGACTCACAGCGGTTC